TCTGTTTATACTGCTTTTATTTTCGTTGTTTGCATGGGATTTGTTCAGGGCGTTCAGCTGGTATACTACAGGCTTGTTTCAGCTTATTCTCTCACAGAATACTATTCAACCATAAAAAAATCCACAAACACTGTTCACCGGACCATCCGAATGAGCTGGTTGTCATGACTCATGAGGTTTCGATTTGATTTGACTGCTTTCCCTGACGGCATTTCAAATCCCATCCAATCCCCGTTTTAATATCATTCCTGGAGCCAAAATGAGCAAACTGCTACTCTGCATCTTTCAGATTCCTCATGTTAAGCATTGTACACTCACCATTTCCTTGCGTCACTATGTCAGTTTTTATTTTTATATATATGCAGGGGAATCGCGATGACGCTAGGTGCCGCACCAGCCGCAAAATCATCAGCCGAATGCATAAATACTTTACAGGGCTAAGCCCCTAAGAGTCAGGCTTTTAAAGAGGTAGTCCCCTGCCATTACTCAGTAGTACATAGCTTGCTGCTCCTCTACTGCTACTAAGCTGTATCATATCGTCCCTTCTCTCCGACTCTCCCTCCTTTATCCACTGCGCACCTCTCCCTCGACCCTCGTCTCAAGGCCTCGGAACCGAGGCAGGATGCAGGCCAAGCCGGAAGCTACGGTTCCATCGCCGTCTCCGCCATTGCTGCCATCTCCATATTTCCATCGACGAAGAATGGAGGAGGGGAACAGCGGCGTCGCAATGCTGCGGCGGTAACCGGCCTACACCTATCGGCGTCGTCGCGGCATACAAGGGCAGGCCAGGCATTCGATTTCGTTCGCACATTTACCCCCCCCCAGTTGCAGCAACAGCAAGCAATCGTTTTCTTGCTCTTGCTTAGTTTTTGCTCCCTCGCCTGCAACCATTTCCTTCGTACTACATTACTCCCAGCTGCAGAGGGCTGTGGATAATCTCGCGGTTTTCAGATGATGGTGTGTACGTTTATTTATGCCTGGGTTGATCTGTGTGTGTTTCCCTGGGTAAAAACACTCGCTCTGAATCAGAATGCGAGTATCCTTGTGAGCTGTGACGATTTTTCACGATGTGTTTAAGCTTTCTTTCCTACTTGCGATTCACGTCGAAACCACGAATGGTCTACATGCAGTACCTTACTTAACTCCTGTGCCTTTCTATTTGCATGCTTGGTATGGCGCATAATAACTTCTGTTCATCACTGTGCTTGCGCCTGTGAAGACGCAAACAGCTCATTCTTGGATCTTGGTCTCTAGCATGGTGGCTGGGATAAATTTTAATTTTTGTATCTCCTAAAGATTTATGGTTTTATCTCAGCACTACAGCCGTTCGTTTCGCTAAAAAAAACAAACTGAAACATTGCTCCGACTGATTTGTTGCGAGAGGAAAATACTATTCCGACTGAAAAAAAAACAAACCGAAAAGTATGGATTATCAGACAAACAAAGCCTGCATCTGCGGACATGCATGTTTTTCTCTGTATCTGTAACATATCAAATCGATATTGGAGCTGCTGTACTTCGTTTACTTTCGAATTTTGCCTTCGCAGTAAGGAAAATCTTCACCTGAGCGACTGTCTTGGCAAGCTGCTAGCTAGTACATTGGCACTATTGTGACGTTCTTCCATCACTCCTATTGCCTATTGCTTGTTCACATTTGACCTACAAGAAGGTAGCGTCATCCTCTCGCCCTTTGCCCTGTTCTTCTGTAAGCCTACGGCCGTATGAGTGACCTATGCCCTCCGTGAACGGCGAGCCTGAGAATGCCCAGCCCCGAAACGTCAACGCCGGGCACGGTGCACTTGTTGCACGAGCATCGCTCTCATGGTCACTGTCTCACTTGCTGGCTCACTGTGGTCACTGCACGCCTGCGGAGCACTGAGACGCCGGCCCGGGGCGGGGAGGGGACAGCACTTGCCCGCTTGTTTAATCGCGATCCGGCCGCATCCCACCAAAAAAAACCTCGCGCACGACCCGCACATGCAGTCGTCGGCTCGCCGCTGTCTGAATTCTCCCATAAATCGTGGTCGGCCCGCTGGCGCCGCTCGTGCAGACAGCGCAGGACCGGTGCCTGCCCGTCCCACTGTGCCCTCCGCGCGCGTGCGCGGCCAAAGCGAGGAGAGGACACGGAGCTGCGTTGCCCCGACGAGCGGCGGCAGACACTTGCGGCTGCGCTGGCCGCTGGGAGCGTGCAGTTCTGCCGACTGCCGAGCCTCGACTGACGCGTGGGCCGGCCGGTCCCCGCGTCGCGTCGCGTCCTAGCACCTGGTTTTCGGGCGTGGTGCTGGGAGCATTTGGCAAGTTCCGTCTCGTGCGTCGCATGCTGAAGCGCACCGCTAGATGCCAACGCTCGATTGACGCCCGGGTTAAGACTGTCTCCAACGATCCGAACCCAAATACAAGAGGCATTCCTCGGTTTAGGTCGCGCACCGAAAAAAGGCAGCGCACCCAAAACTTGACGTTTCCAACGACGGACCCAAAAAACCCACCTCGCATGCTCCGCCGACTCCGCCCTCCTCGCCGTCGCCTCGCCACGGCCTCTTTGACCTCCCTGCGTCGTCTCCCCTCCCGGCACCTCGCATACAGTGCAGCCCAGCGGCGGGGAGCACAACGGCGGCAGATCGGCGCCGCCCAGCTTTATGGCGGCCGCCGCGACGGACGTGCTCCGCGGTTGCCGCCTCCGGCCGTCCGCTGCTTGCGCAGCACGGCTTTCCCACCGGACCCGCGACCCGCTGCGCCTGCGACGGAACCCACCTCGCACCGCTTCACCACTCTCACTGGGTGCGACGGCTGCCCCGCCCCTTACCGCAGGAAAATCCGCGGCGTTGAGGAAGAAGAAGCGAAGTCGGGCCGTCGCCGTGCTGGCTAGCTTCACAACATGAGCTCTGGATCCGCCCCAGCCATGCGCGCGGACTGGCGTCGTGGTGCGGCGAGATCTGGACCGTGCCACTGCCGTCTTGAAGCGAGCTTGATTTGACCTCACGCATGCGAGCTGGTCCACCAACCCCACGGGCGAGCTCGTCCTCCATTGCACTGCATGCTGGCCTTTGCCCCCCTACCGCGCTAGCCAAGAAGAGGAGGAAGAGAGGCGCACCCGGCGATTTGCGTCGTGGAGAAAGGCGACGCTTTTTTGCGTTTCGAATCGCCTGGTACGCAAAATAGGGGCTCTATTTGCGTCTTCGGTTGGAGCCTGATTTAATCACCTAAAACCACTGTGGATGACGCATTTTGTGTTTTGCCAACTCCGTTGGAGACAGTCTTACAAATAACAAGTGCTTTATGAGACGCCTCGAGGGGTGGTATCCAATGGCTCTGGTGATCGGCGCTTGGCCGTTTCATGGAGTTGTCGCTGGCTGCGCGATGCGCGATCGCAATCGCGCGTGCGTGGGTGCCTGTTTTTTTGGCTTGGTGGAGTGTGCCGTGCGTCCCCTGTTCAGGATCTTGCCTACAAGCCACAAGCCCCAACATAACGCGGCTTGCATCGCGCCCGAGAGAGGAGGAGGGAGGAGGGAGGAGGGATTGGGAATTTGGTGGTGACCGGCCGGTGCAGGTTGACCTTGTGTTTGACCAGAAACTTGAACGACAAAGGATGCACTGCTACCAACATTGGTAGTTTGCTACGCGTAACACATGACGGATGACTAGCATATACCCAAATTTTAATGGCACGTCCCGCAAACCGGCGACCGGGCGAGCAGAAGCTGAAGCCGATGGCGTGCGCCGGGAGCTGGAGGATGCCGCGAAGCCATATGTGGCCATGCTAATGCTTCCGCGGCGCCGGTAGGGCGGGGGGCGATGGCGAAACCATGCAGGCGCGCGAGCCCGCTCAGCAAGGATGCCAGCCTTGTCGGACTAGTGTTTTGACCATGGCCGACGGCTCTGCGCACATCGCTCGGGCCGGGGCGGGGCGGGCGGGGCGGGTGCGCGGTTGATTCCGCTGCGGGGGTGGTCAGGTGGTGTGCGCTTTTGATCACGTTTCCGGATAGTTCTGGTCTCCGGACTCTGAAGAGCCCTCGGCTTATAAGTCGTATTTTTGGTCAACGAATAATATTTTTCTTTCATAATAAACCAATCAACAGATTTTTTCAACCATGCCTTATTAGCTAAGCGAACATAGTCGAGCTGTTGATTGTGTCAGGCAGCAGTCCCATAGCTTGGTTATTTCTATGCACACTCGCTAGTTGCCACGGCCTACTCGCTGTCACTAGTGCTGCGAGTACGTTCTTAGGGCAAGACGAAGGGGGTATTTGGTTCTTTAGTCGCTTCAAAAATTTCTGTCACATCAAATGTTTAGATACTAATAAGGAGCATTAAATATAGATTAATTACAAAATCAATTACATAGATGGAGGCTAATTTGTGAGACGAATCTATTAAGCCTAATTAGTCCATGATTTGACAATATGATGCTACAGTGAACATGTGCTAATGATGGATTAATTAGACTTAATAGATTCATCTCGTAAATTAGCCTACATCTGTATAATTAGTTTTATAATTAGCTCATATTTAGTTCTCCTAATTAGTATCCGAATATTCGATGTGACATAAATTTTAGGAGCGACTAAAGAACCAAACACCCCTAAAGACAGGTCTCAAAATTGCAGTCTTTGCACCATTGACCATTGCACTGAACATCAAACCCTCATCTTTAAGTGATCTGTTGCCGAAAATGTCTATTGTTTCTGAAGCTTCTTTTTCAGCGAAAGGGGGGAATATTGAAGCGAGTAGCACCTTATCTGCTACACAGCTGTGCCATATTATTCGGCAAAACTCTGTTTCAGCCATACACATCACATGGATGCACCATTGAAAAGCAGCCCTGTGGCCAGCAGTGGTGTACGCCGTGCAATGACGAACGTTACAGCCACCGAAAGAAAGAAAAAAAGTGCAAGTGCAGAAAGCACATCCAGACCTGACCTCAACCAAACACAGCTGCTGAAGCTGAACTGCCCGCCCTCCTCGCTCCACTGATCCAAAGCTGCACTCGCTCCAAGGTCCCCATGGGATCCTACCACTACACCTCCACCTCGCAATTTGTCATCGCGGCCGTCGATTCCAACCCCAAGCCCAGCCACAAGCCCAAGACCACCGTCCAAATCCCCATCACATCCCCTCCGCCTCCGGAGGGGGCTCGGGAGGGATCACCTGACGCGGTGGCGGCCGCCAAGATCCAGGCGGCCTTGCGTGGGTACCTGGTCAGGCGGCACGTCGCGGCCGTGCTCGCGGCCGACGCCGAGGCGACGCGGCTCGAGCGGCTGCTCCGGCGGCAGGAGACCGTGGACGCCGTCCGCCGCGACGAGCGCGAGCGGGCCTGGTTCTCGGAGGCGCTGATGTCCGTGCTGCTCCGCCTAGATGCCGTGCCGAGGCACTACCCCGCCGTGCGGGACGCGCGGCGCGCCGTGAGCCGCCGCGTGGTCGGCCTGCAGGAGGTGTTCGACGCCGTTATCGCGGCACCGGCACCCGAAGCGCAGACGTGCGGGGTACCGGCGAGCCTGGAGCTGGTTCTGGAAGGGATCTGGGGAGTCGGAGAGGCGCCTGTTCCGGTGCCGCCGCCGGCGGCAGCGGTGGAGGATGTAGGGAGGAGGGTCGGGTCAATTTTTTTTTTCTCTCTCTATGACAACCGTGTCAAACTGCAGATGTGAAAAATTAAAAATATCCTAAATATATTATTAATTTTTTTAGCACCCTAACGACTTCGAATAAAAAAAACTCAAAACTAGAAAATTATAGATCTCGTTGAGATCTATAATTTTTATATAAAAATTATCTTTATTTAATTACGCAAAAAAATATAATTTAATATGATTAATATATCTTAGAAAAATCATATCTTTTTTTGTTGAGTTAAATGAAGATAATTTTTATAAAAAACTATAGATCTCGACGAGATCTACAACTTTCTAGTTTTGAGTTTTTTTATTTGAAGTTGGTAAGATGCTCAAAAAAAAATTAATGACATATTTAGACTTAAGGGTATTTTCGATTTTTCACACCTGCAGTTTGATACCGTTAGAGCTCAAACTAACGGCAGTGGTATGAATGGCACAAAAAAGTTGGAGCAGAGACACTGAAGATCGCTGAATTTTTTCAAAGACATGTAACATTGCGATAATTTTTAATGACACACAAGTAATTCCACCGTCAAAGAAAGAGTCGGAGTCATCTAACTAGATCTAGTGGACTTCGCCTACGCCTAGGCATGGGCTTGGAGTCTTGGACACGGGGTCAGCCTGAGTCCAGATCCAAACGTAACTAGTTTTAATTAATTACCTAGGTGCTTTGAGATGCGTGCAACCTTTGAAAAGAGGACCAGCAGAGCAAAACTAGGTTGGCAAATCTAGGTGACACATGCCATATTTATGCCAAGAAGGCAAATCAATACCGACCACAAAGGGTTGACGTCAAGTGCATCACTCAGCAAGTTCAAAGACATAAAACTTCAAATTGATAGTTCATGGCCATGGCCTAGATGATAACCTTAACAAATCTAGGACTGCTTGTGTTTGTTTGTGCTTGACAATAACATGACCCTCGGGTATCATTATGGAGAACATAGCTGCTTCCGCGCTTCCCAGGACACAGGGTGAACCGGGCCGACTACTCGGAGTCCTGCATCTACTTGGGGTAACTTCACTGACATAGAGAACAAGACATAGTTAGATACAATCCTCGATATCTTGGGAAACCTTATTGTAACCGAACACCATAATAGGAAAGGAAACCAACTATATAAGTTATAACCCTGGCCCTCTATTACATATGTATTCGCTAGTCATTTAACTAGGGAACATTTGAATCGTTGAGCTGAAGGGTACAAGAGAAAAGAGTTGGAAGTTTGGATCTTCACCGGAATGAAATTTAAAATTCGAGTCAATGTTCAAAACTATTTGGTTAAAAGTTTAATTATTTAGTGTGAATGTGTCGGATACCATGAGAAGGGGTACCCTAAGCAAGATCCAAAAAACGACTGCTTAGATTTCAGTAAAGATCGAAACCGACTAAGCATTTGCTGGCCTCGGCCGATTCTCCGAAACTACTTGAGGCCCCATCACTGTGGCCTCGGCCGATTCTCCGACTTCGCTTGAGGCCTCATCACCATGGACCTCGGCCGATTCTCCGATTCGCCCGAGGCCCCTCACCGCGGGCCTCGGTCGATTCCGCCAAAGGCCTCGGCCGAGGCCACCGACCCTCCGTCTCGCGCAAGGCGGGCTCGTGACACTCGCTACCTCTTCCTTCTCCCGTCCCTCGGCAAAGCGTCAGTGTCGCATCAACTCGACCAAGCTACGCTTCGACAACAACCGCATGCCAAGACAAGATGCAATGAGAATGGCCGATGGGGACGAGGGCGGATCAAGGCGGGGTTACCCGCCATCGCATACTAACCACCGTGCACATGGGTTGGCGCCCATGCCTCACTATGTCGCCAACTCCCGCACCGAGGACAATGCAGCGTGGGGAGCCACATCGGAGGCTCTCTGTGGCCTCGGAATCGATACCAGAGCAATAATTCCCTCAAGGCCTCGGCGGCTTGCTCCGAGGGCTCGGCGGCCCGAGGACCCATGTCCGCCAAAGCCCCCCCGATGATGGCTTGGCCTCGGCACCCTCAGAGCCACAGCCCCCTCACGCGTCATCACGCGATGACTGCACGTCCCGGGTGGCGGGGGGTTACCGTCACTATGCTATCCACCGTGCACATGGTTGACACCCATGCCTCTTTGTGGCCGCCAACTCCTGCTCCAAGGACAACGCGGCATGGGGAGCCACGTCTGAGGCTCTTGTGGCCTCGGAATCGATACCGGGGCCAATAAACTCCCCAAGGCCTCGACGGTTTGCTTCACGGGCTCGGCGGCTGAGGGTCCATGACCACCGAGCCCCCACGATGGCTCGGCCTCGGCATCTCGCAGAGCCGCTGCTCCCACGACGTCATTACGGCGACCAAGACGTCGCCCGCCATGTCTGCATCAAGCCGTCTTTGGAGCCCCACGGCGCACAAGACCGAAAGTATGACCAGCATGTCACTTCCGCATGACAAGGACGGGCCACTCCATCGACCATACCACAACGGTGGCCGACTACGAGGCTCGGACCGCCACCCCATTCTGAAGCGCTATGTAGCACCACTGTGCACGGTCCGGTCCTCCTTAGAGTATAAAAGGGAGGGATGGGGCCATTTCTGAGGAGAGGCGAGGAAAGATTTAAGCGCGCCGATAGAAACCACGCACTCCTGTTGCTTGGGAACAACGCCTCAAGCAGCCCGCACCACACTCGTCGAGACACAGGGCTAGTTCCTCTCTCACCTAGCTTGTAACCCCCCTACTACGAGCACTCCGGTGCAAGGAATACAAGATCGATCTCGGAATTTGGGACGTAGGGCCTCGATTGCTGAACCAGTATAAACCTTGTGTCTCTTTGCGCCACCATCCGGGATTAGGGGCACGCATGACACAAATTCACTCGTTGGTTGAGGGACCCCGGTTCCAAAACACCGACGGTTGGCGCGCCGGTAAGGGCGCTGCGTGTCGACTTCGTCATCCTAGCAAGTTCCGGATGGCGGACTACATACGACCATTGCGTCTCGGCACCATAGTTTGGTTGGGGAGCCTAGAGTTCATGTCTCTAGGGCATGAGTACGACATGGTGCTCCTCTCCTCCTCGACCCCACCGTCCGAGCGACGAAGTCGCGCCCGGCGACCAGTAGCAGAAGCGGCGCGGGCGCGGCCCGCTCTCGCCACGCTTCGCCCGAGCACGCGCGAGCAAAGGCCACCCGACGCTTACGCGAGCCCAGGCGACACGCCTCTCCCCGCCGATGTCCTCGACCCGGTGTTGTTGATGCACGGGTCCTGGTGGGGACTGTCGACTGAGCACGGGCGAAGGAAAATCGCCGGTGGCTTACTGGCGATGCCGGTCGTCTAACCCGCTCCGCCACTCCACGAAGAGCCGACCCGTGGGCGAGAATATGGAGACGGCCCGCCCCCATACCCCTTTGGGTTGAGAAATGCCGCCGCCTCTTACGCCACGCTACTTTTGCCACTCACGAGCACCCCTCGGGCCGCCGCCGGCGCTTCGCTCTCGACTTGAGCACCATACGACTCCTCGGACGAGGGCGAGGCATGGCCCAAGGTGGATTTCTCCGAACTTCACAACCCACGGGATTTGCGCCAATTCTTGGCATAGCGACTCTCGCCTCGGCTACTCAGGACTCCGACGATGAAGGGACTTACGATCCATCTTGTGAGTGCTTCCACGTCGGGCTCGGGATGCCAAGGGCGGCGGCGAAGGCGAGAGGACGAGCAACCATTCCCCCCGCCGGCGGCGGCGCCCCACCACCGCGTCTCGAGGCCCCGGCCGCGAAGAGGCGAGAATCCCGCTGCGGGGGCATCGACGCCCAGACACGGGAGCAGCTCCACGAGCTTCAAGCCAAGGTCGAACAAGACCGACTCATACGCAGCGGCTTGGGACACTCTCGGCGGGGAGCGGCAAGGGCGCAGTGATGGCGGAGGGCCCGAGGGAGGGCCGCGACGTCCACCACCGCATCAACGACAACGAGGGGATGAGCCGCCCCAATCTTTAACCGCGCTAGCGAGAATGTCGCAATGTCGCGATGCTAGTCCGAGCAATGCCCGAGCCCTCCACCACCGAGGGGCGGCGGGTCCGCGGAGAGCTCCGCGACCTCCTCGAGACCGCAGCAGCGGTGCGGCGAGGCGAAAGTTCCGCCTCCCGCCGTGGCGCGAGGCACGCCGAGCAACCCACGGCACGACCTCGCCAAGGCCGGGGTGCCTCGGTCCGTCTGAAAGCCGCTCGCGCCGACGCGGTCAATAGGGCCCTCTCGGTGCGCAACCGACTCGAGGACCAACACGAGGCAGGCGACCCACGAAGTAGTTGGCGGCGGCGGCGCCACGACAATGAGCCGCCCGAGGCTACCACCCACACCGAGGCGGTCGCTCACGACGGCGGTGAGACCCATGATCCTTCCCACGAGTCGCCGGGACCTCGGGTCTTCAGCGAGGGCCATCCGCGTTGCTCCTTTCCCCGCCCGGTTCCGGCAGTACCGGCCAACTCATGAAATCTGGTGGCGAGACCAACCGGAACTCTGGCTCGCCGATTCTGCGCTGGCTTTGCCGGACTAGGTGGCACAGACGATGACCTGCTCATCATCCGCAATCTCCCTTTGCTCTTGTCGGACTCGGCGCGAGCCTGGCTGGAGCATCTCCCTCCCTCGCAAATCCACGACTGGCGCGACTTGGTTAGAATCTTCGTCCGGGAACTTCCGGGGCACATCGTGCATACGGGAATTCTGGGATCTTAAAAGCTGCCGCCCGAAGCGACGAGTCTCTCCGAGACTTCATCCGGCGCTTTCCAAATAAAGTGCACCGAGCTACCCAGCGTCGGCGACTCGGAGATCGTCCGGGCTTTCTTCTCGGCACCACTTGTCGGGACTTGGTCCGAGAGTTGGGGCCTTAGCGTCCGCGCTCTGCTGCCGCTCCTCGACATCGCCACCGGCGGCCGCCTCGGGGAAGAAGGCGCCGAGAGCCATCTTCCCCAACACCGATTCCAAGGGGAAGCGGAGGGAAGAGGCCCCCAGAGGCCTCGCCCCCCACCTCCCTAAGAAAAAGAAGAAAGGTCGCCAGGAGGCGGGGAAGTTCTCGAGGCCGTCCATGTCGCCACAACGGATCACGAGGAATCCCGCGGCCCCGGGCTATTTGACGACATCTTTGAAGAAGCCCCGCCCTTACCATCAAGGTCCGGTGAAGCACGCCCTCGAGGAGTGCACCATGCTCCGCGCTACTACGCATGAGCTCGGGCTCCCCGGCAGCACGCCAGCGAAGTGCCCCGGCGGTCGGAGCGAGGACAAGGGGACGACGGGTTCCCGAGGTGCATAGCGCTTTCATGATCTTTGGCGGACCCTCGGCATGCCTCACGGCGCGCCAGCGAAAGAGGGAACGCCGGGAGGTTTTCTCGGTCAAGGTGGCCACCCCCCGGTACCTCGATTGGTCTCGGGAGGCAATCACCTTCGATCGGGATGACCACCCCGATTATGTTCCAAACCCCGGGCAGTACCCGCTTGTCGTCGACCCGATCGTCGGCAACACCCGACTTACCAAAGTGCTCATGGGACGGAGGCGGTGGCCTCAACATCCTCTCGTCAACACTCTAGAGCTCCACGGAGCTCGACCAATCGCGACTCGAGGCGGTTCCGCGCCCTTCCACGGCATCGTGCCAGGAAAGCGCACGCG